GACCCTTTTCTGAACTCAAAGTGTGAGCATTCAACTTAGATTTGGCTAATTAGAGCCAATAAATTTTAATTCTCTGAATATTTTTAAAAGAATAGAGAATAAAGAAGTTCTCCACCTGCTGGACTTCATTTGAAAGAATATGAGCTAGGACATTAGCACAGTGGAAAAGGGAGTTAGGATCTATTCCATAAGGTAATCATATGCAAACAAAAATAAATCTAAAGCTCCCTCCACCATCTGAATAGACTTTTTCCTAGGTCAGGGCACTTTTAAAATGTAATCTGAGAAACTGATTCGGCCATGACAGGAAGTTGAATATGCCTCCTTATACCTGTCTAGTCTGAACATCAACATAGGCCTTTAAGTCTGATAAGAAGTATTTACAATCTATTTTCTCTGAAGCCTGCTACCTGGAGCCTTCAGGTGCATAAACTTTGGTCACTACAATCTCTTATCACAATCCAGACATTTTCTTTCTATTCCAGGCCTTTAGATAAACTCAATCAGTTGTCGACCAGAAAATGTTAATTTTAAATTGACCCATAACCTGAAAGTTGCCCCTGCCCTCTTGCTTTGAATTATCCTGCCTTTCTGAAACAAACCAATGTATTTCTTAAATGTATTTTATTGAAGTCTCATGTCTACCTAAAAAGTATTAAAACCAAGTTGCTGCAACCTGACCACCTTGGCACATGTACTGAGGACCTCCTGTGGACTGTGTCACAGACCATGGTCACTCATATTTGGCTCAGAATAAATTTCTTCAGATATTTTACAGTTGCACTGTTTTTATCCACACAGCAGAAGATAGACAGAGTCTAAGTTTCCCCAGCGGAATTTAAGCCCCTGGATCTGAGACAGGAAAATTCCCTTAACTCTCTTACAGGACTTGCAACAGGGTGGCTCCTTTACTGGGCTCAATCCCCATGCAGGAGTGGGAGCACACAGGTGAGTGGGTGCAGGAGCTGGGGCAAATGCCTTTGGGAACTAACTGTTGGCAGGAACTAACCCCTACCCCTGCCCCGGCAATGTCTAGGGTTTGCCCACGATTTCCGGAGCCCCAGAGAGCATGTATTATAAACAATGCTCTTTTAGTATTTGCCTTCTGCAGATGGCCAAGTGTTAAAACCAGCTCAGTGGAGGGTCAGGGTTGACAGCCTTTTACACCCTACTGTCTTGGTACCCAGGTTCTTGTCTAGCATCCAGGAAGAATCAGGTCACATGGACTTGAAGGATGGTGAATACAGAGATTTTATTGGGCAGTGGAATGGCTCTCAGTGGGATGGGGGGTAGGAAAGGGCATGAAGTGGGAAGAAAATCTTCCCCTAGAGTTCAGGCTGTCCCTGGCCAAACACCTCTCCAAGCCTAGACTCCAATGTCCAGCTGCCTCTCCCTCTCTCAATGTTCAGACGCTTCTCTTCTCTCCTCTGCCACACCACTCTGCCGCTCTGCCAGTGGAGCTTGGGGTTTCTGTGGGCACAGAGTAGGGGGTATGGTGGTCCAAAACGCAATATTAGGATGGGAAAACAGGGATTTGAAGTTCTCATTTAGGGCCATGGGCCCAGGCTTAAAAGGTGGAACCCTTGCCAGGGACCCCACGCTTTTCTTTTCTTTTTTCTTCTCTTCTCTCCTTCCTTCCTTCTCTCCTTCCTTTCCTGTCTCTTCCTTCCTTTTCTTCCTTCCCTCCCTCCTTCCCTCCCTTTCTCCCTCCCTCCCTCCCACCTTCCCTTCCTCCCTCCCTCCCTTCCTTCCTTCCTCTCTCTCTTTCTCTCTTTCTCTCTCTCTCTCTTTCTTTCTTTCTGCAGTCTCACTCTGTTGCCCAGGCTGGAGTGTAATGGCACAATCTTGGCCCACTGCAACACCCACCTCCCAGGTTCAAGTGATTCTCCTGCCTCAGCCTCCTGAGTAGCTGGGATTACAGGCACATGCCACTATGAACAGCTAATTTTTGTATTTTTAGTAGAGATGGGGTTTCACCATGTTGGCCAGGCTGGTCTTGAACTCCTGACTTCCCGTGATCCGCCTCTGTTGGCCTCTCAAAGTGCTAGGATTATAGGCATGTGCTACTGCACCGAGCCAACTGTGTTTAAAAATCATCCGTACAATCACCTTCACTAAGACAAGACAACAAAATCAACTCTAAGAAAAAGAAAATAAAACAGCATAATAAAAGATTATGCTGAAGCTTAATGTATCAGCATAATCTCAGGAAATTGTATTATAATTCCATTCAGCGATTGCATAAAAATGGAGATTAGAAAATATCTGGGCAATTTAAGTCAAAATTTCCCCAGTTCTGAGGAAAGAATTTATCACAGATGTATTGCTTGAGAAATTAATCTTTGGCTTACATACTGAATGCATTGTCTAATAAGATTTAGACCTCTTTTGTACTTTGTAGGTAACAGATCAGCTAAACAGGACTAAAAATTTTCCTTCAGAAAAGAAGTATCAGCCTACAATACAATCTCTCTCGTGAAAGTGTTGATAAGATCCTGGGTTCCTGTTACCTTTTTGATTAGTCTACAGATCCCAAGTGTCATTATAACTAAGCCATTAATAACAACCCCCTACTCACCCAAGAATCTTTGTGGATGAGCTTCCAAAAACACAACTATTTATTATTGGAATTTTGAATACTGAAGTAAAGGAGCTCTATTCCCATCATTAGCTCATTAATTAAGCCCCAAATTTCTAAAGTCAGCATGTTTTTAATCACTTCATTGTATGCCTTTCATCCTGAGACACAAAACAGTGCCCATTACTCACAATTTTGCCAGTAGCCTTTTCTTTATTGGTGGTTTTAGTTTTGTACAGAAAAAAAGAGGTTTTCAGGGATATTGACACAGGGCTTTAAAAAGTACCCTAATGATTTTTTATCAAATCGATAAACTTTTATGATTTATTTTCATAATATTCCACCTATTTTTACTTATCAGACTGAAGAAGGAAGGAGACTCACCCTCTGGAAGTATTGTACTACCTAAGACCACCTCAGACACCCTTCAAAATACATCAAAATCCAGCCAATCAGAGCCTTACAACATTGTTTCCATGTGAGGAATGGCTAGTTAAAATCACCCCAGTCTTCTGTCTCACATACAGAGTTCTCTTGTCTGCCAACATGAATGGTTGCTATCATTACATCAGCCTCCAGTGACTTCAATACATGAATGGCTAGCTTACGGTCCAAGAGTGGATGGGCTTTTCTGTCTGTTTCAGAGGCATCTGCCAACCAACGGGAACAGGCAGACAAAGCGATCTTTAAGTATTCTGCTCCATGCAATGAATAGGCAATGCCTAAAGAGCAGCTCAAGATGAAACTGTGAGAACATGAAGGACACCCATAGGTGTCTGAAAACCTCCTTCCAGCAAGAGAGCTCTTTTCACATATAGGAATGAAAGTAAACTGAACCAAAAGCAGAGCTGTGTCTACTTGACACAGGGAGCCTCCTTGAAAAAAAAGGCTTCATATCAGGGAATGGTGAAAACAATTCAAGAAGCTATGCAGCTATAGGGATGCAAGGGTGCCTGTTATTTGTGAATGGCTCTGTTTACTCTAAGTGAGGAGAGAATTCCCTAATATCCAGGAGGGAATTAACTTGGGAGACATAACATAAGAGCTCTATTTTTGCCTCAAGCACTCTTGTTTCCTTTATCTCATTTTAAACATTATTCCACTAGCAAAATAATATCAGCTTATGGCAAATAACTAGACAAATAAAAGCATTACGAAACAGAAACCTACCTATAATCCTAGTGAACACACGGAGTTACTGTTATCATTTTTGGCACATTTCTTTCCAGTTTTGTTCCCATTCTTTTGTGTCTATTCAGATGACATCATGCTAAAAATATGAAAATATCTTTATGCTATACCTATTTTTTATCCTGCTTTGTTGAACTTTATATTATTAACCTCTTGTTCCATGTTATTACAAGCTTTTTATAGGTATCATTTTAATAGTAAAAAGTAGTACTCATAATTTATAGAATTGTATAGATGTTCTGTAATTTTCATAATTGTGTCCTCAAAAAGGAATATTTTTATCTATAAATATTACAAATTATATAAAATACAAAAATAAACATCTTTCCCTAACTCCAACATAGACGTTTTTGTGTCTCACAACATTCTGATACCCCCTTCTAAGGAGTGTCTGACTTGCTGTCACCCCCATTTCAGACTCATTGCCATAATCAGCCATAGGCTGAGGGTGGTAGGGCGTACTTCATTACGGTGGACCCTTGAACAAACAGGGGTTAGGGACATCAACACCCCCTATGCCCCCACATATTCACGTATAACTTTGATTTTCCAAAACTTAACTAAAAACAGTCTACTTTTGACTAGAAGCCCAATCGATAACAGTCAATGAACATCTATTTTGCATGTTCTATGTATTATATACTATATTCTTACAATGAAGTAAGCTACAGAAACAAAGTGTTATTTTAAAAAAATCATAAGGAAGGGAACATGTACTTACTATTAATTAAGTGAAAGTGGATCATAAAAGTTTTCACCCTGGTCATGTTTATGTTAAGCAGGCTGAAGAAGGATTTGTCTTGCTGCCTCAGGAGAGGCAGAGGCTGAGAAAAATCTGCATATAAGTAGATCCACACAGTTCAAACCAATGTTGTTCAAGGGTCAACTGTATATACTTCAGGTGTGTTTCGTTAGGAGAAAATATGGAATATACAGATATATACAAAAAGAGGAGACTCTTTTTGTATATAACTAACTCTTGAGCAATGGGGACACAGTTAAAATAAGCCTATAGCCTTTGAAAAACATAAATGTTCATTGAGATGTATGTATTAAGAGCTTTTCAAAAATGAAATCAGATTTTCTTCCTTTGGGTTCAAAGACTGAACACCTCAAAATACTTCAAAATATTTAAAACATTTCACACTAAACAAAGTAAAGACATCAGTTTATCTACTGCTTCTATTAATTGATGTTACAGGTTTTATTTGAAGGTTTTGTTTTGGTTTGGTTTATTGTTGTTTCTTTTTTTTTTTTTTTCATGGTAAAGGCTGCTTTATTGACAGCAGTTAGTACAGGTCAATAAATATTGATCCCCAAAGAAGAGCTCAGTTATTTATCAGATTACTGGTCCATAGGGAGTGGAATGAAACTGAACCAAGTGATTGCTGGGATGACCGAAGTCAATCCTGCTTCTTGGGAAATGAAGCCATAGCCAGCTGATATATAGCATATGCTGTTCCGCCAACTGTAAGAATCATGGTGGCTCTATACAGGGGCACATCAGCTACCCAACCCTTTGGATACACTGGAATCCCATCATCCTCCTGGAACAGCGTTTGTTTCTCTGGAACTCTATTTCTAAAATGCCTGTGGGAAGCAGTGCTTATGGTCCTCTGCCCAAACTGACGAAGAGCCAGCAGATTCCGCAGCATCTTGGCTCAATTACTGACCACCAACCGTGACAACTGAACACCAGGAACAAAAACCTGTTGTTGTTTCTGTGAGACAGAGTTTCCCTCTTGTTGCCCAGGCTGGAGTGCAATGGCGCGATCTCGGCTCACTGCAACCTCCGCCTCCCGGATCAGGCGATTCTCCCGCCTCAGCCTCCCAAGTAGCTGGGATTATAGGTGCCTGCTACTATGTCCAGCTAATTTTTTATATGTTTAGTACAGACGGGGTTTCACCATGTTGGCCAGGCTGGTGTCGAACTCTCACCTCAGGTGATCCACACTCCTCAGCCACCCAAAGTGTTGGGATTACAGGTGTGAGTCACCACATGGGGCTTATTTGGAGTTTTTATACATTATATTTCAGAGGAAATAAAGGTATTTACAGGTAAAGAAAGAACTAAGATAATTCTACCAATTTCCCTTATTCCAGCAAGCTCTCCACTGAATTCAACATCATGGTAATCAGCAAGTGGCCAAATAGTCCTTTACATGTTTTCTGTTTTCCCATTTGGGTAAGAAATGTGCCTTATAAACAGTACACTGAAATGATGCAGACAGAGAAGCAAAATGCTTGGCTAATTCCAGTACACATGACCCATTGCCTGAAAATGGGGAAAGTGACCACAGGAATTTAATTTGAAATACTTCCTACTACCACTAAGCCGGAGCAGGGAAAAGCCAACAGAAAGAGGAAGTTCTGATGAGACACACATTGACTCATGTGATATATTATTTCCTCATGTCATTTTCTTGTCCAGTCAGAGGCTGCATTGGTTCTCCTAGAAAGATACATAAAAGCCGGAGCCAAAATTCATGACTTCACAATGTTAAATGCTCAAACATGGCCTTAGAAAGCCCAAATTGACTAGAGAGCAGAGGAGCCCAGGTTTATGGTACTTAGTAACCACAGAGGAGGTCAAAGGAAAAGTTGTTTGTAGACATTCCCACTCAAATGACCACATTTTTCTGATTATGAGATTTGACACTTGTTATCTCCGTCAGAGAGGAGGGTAGGTCCCTTGAATTCACACTGAAAATGCGAAAGCAGCCACATCTGGAGGACTTCGGCCCCACCCCAGGCTCATATTTACAATTCTTTGGCAGTCCAGCCCTTCTCTGGAGTCCACATGGAAGCTGTCAGAGCAAACCCACAGAGGACTGGTGACGATAGGCTGGATGCATTCAGGACTCTCCTACATATGTACCACTGATCAATTCAGTGCAATTGGAGCCCTGATGCCAAGCAATCTGGAAATGAAAATACACACTGTTTTCAGCCTACAATTTATCAGAAAAGAGTTTAATCTCCAAAGACGCCCAGTAGTTGGCCTCTGGCTAGAAGAAAGAACATAGAAGGAAAAAAAAATGCTGAGGGTTATTTTGTTCTCAAGTCTAGGGAGCTTCCAAATACTTGAACCGTCTGCTTATGAAGAATTGCCTTACGTATCACTGAGAACTTGCCAATACTTTAAAGAATTCAACGCATCCAGATCCCAAACTGAACTGAGCATAATGTAGTCATTGTCTTCCTCTCCTTCTCTTCCTCATCTTCCTCCCACTCCTCCTCCTCCTCCTTCATCTTCTTCCTCTCCTTTTCTTCTAGTAATTTAGAAAATAAGCTTCAACACAATGGCTTTTCTAATTGTCTAAAATTACAAGCAAATATCATGATTTATAGGCAGGCAAAGTATGAAGACTATAACCAAATACCACTGCAAACCTGTGAAACTGGCATTTCTAAATGCATACATATTGCTTATGAAGCTGCAGCATAGTGGGAAAGCTGGTAAATTATTTGCATAAATTGCTATACTTAATGTAAAGCAGGTGAATCAAAGTTTTCATTTTTTATTTCTTTTAATGTGTTACATCTTTAAGATCTATAATAATTGTCTTCCTTTTGTATATTATCATTTAGCTTGATAATGACATAAAGAATAAAAGACATGGAATATAAGAAAGTTATAGGAATTGTAGGATAAAAGACATAGAATATAAGAAAGTTACAGGAATTGTGATTTTTTTAATCACCAATACTTACTGAAATTAAATGCATTCTACATGCCAGACACTATGCTAGAGGCTTTCCAACTTGTAACTCTGTCTGTGTGTGTGTGCAAATTCATGTTGAAACCTTGTTTAGAGTCTCTTCAGACACATTATTCACATTATTAAAAATGTTTTAGGATACCCAGATAGAGTGTGGCCTTGGCTGTCTGCATATTGAACACTGAATATAACTTAGTAATTACTTAGTATCCTAATGATGAAGTACTTAGCACTTCACTAGGGTGCAAATTTTAATGGCATGTCCTGTGAAGCAGCTGTGAATTAAGGAGAAAGGTCGATGTGTAAGCATCAGTTACTTTGCTAAAAAGTGAGTTTAGCTAAGCCAGAGTCCTTCACTTCTGCCTGTCTGTCCATTTCCATTTCCAATGCCACAGAATTGCTGTGTCAAAAAATGACCTGGACAGTTACGAAGCAAAAGTCAAACAATTTATATAAACATGAAGAGTAAGTGAAGGTCTAGAGAGTGAGGTTTCCTAGGAAGAAAAATAGAGGCTTTATACAAGTTACAGAGAGTGATGTCAAAAGTGGTAATAATGGGGATCTCTAACAAGAATAAGTCTGTTACCAGGAAGAGGTCCCGATCCAGACCCCAAGAGAAGGTTCTTGGATCTCATGCAAGGATGAATTCAGGGTAAGTCCATAAAACAAAAGCAAGTTTATTAGGAAAGTAAAGGAATAAAAAATGAATACTCCAAGGCTGGGAGTGGTGGCTCACGCCTGTAATCCTAGCACTTTGGGAGGCCAAGGCAGGTGGATTTACCTGAGGTCAGGAGTTTGAGACCACCATAGCCAACATAGTGAAACCCTGTCTCTACCAGAAATACAGAAATTAGCGGGGTGTGGTAGTGCAAGCCTGTAGTCCCAGCTACTTGGGAGACTGAAGCAGAAGAATTGCTTGAACCTGGGAGATGGAGGTTGCAGTGAGCTTAGATTGCACCACTGCACTCTAGCCTGGCCAGCAGAGCGAGACTCTATCCCCCAAAAAAAGAATGACTACTCCATAGATAAAGCAGCTCCAAGGACTGCTGGTTGCCCATTTTTATTGTTATTTCTTGATGCTATGCTAAACAAGGGGTGGATTATTCGTTCCTCCCCTTTTTAGACCATATAGGGTAACTTCCTGATATTGCCATGGCATTTTCAACTGTCATGGCGATGGTGGGAGTGTAGAAGTAGGATGACCAGAGGTCACTCTCATGGCCACCTTGGTTTTGGTGGGTTTCAGCTGGCTTCTTTACTGCAACCTGTTTTATCAGCAAGGTTTTTATGAGCTGTATCTTGTGCCGACCTCCTACCTCATTTTACCCAGCTCCTATTCAAGATGGAGTTGCTCTGGTTCAAATGCCTTTGACAAGTCTACCATATGTTCTTAGCAAAAGTTAGAAAGCTAACTAATTTGATTTACATGACTATTTTTAATGGAAATGAGACTTAGGAGTAGATTTAACATTTTAATATAAATGGTTACATATGTAATTATTATGTATAAAATGATATATAAGGTAATCACATTTGATATCATATTTGGGTATATAATCATGAAAGTAAAAACAGCTCTTGTAAATTTCTTGCCAATATTTGTTTCAAGCATTTAGAGATTTTCAAAGTTAAGACATTTCTACCTCATGATTATTACAGCTTTGAACACTGTTGCTACTCTCTAAAATGTTTTCTGATGTAAGGAGAATATCTACATCAGAACAATATTTAAGTAAGTTAATTAAGACTTTTAAAAATTTCCATTTATATTCTTATCCATTCACCAAACATAAACACTCACCTATGTCAGTTACAAAACTTACACAGCCTTTGTCTGTTTTTTTAAATCAGAATTAAGAACAACTTAAGTTATTTTGACAAAAATTTGTCTTCCATACCCAAGTACTCTGCTAGGTATCCAGAATATAGTTATAATTTTTTTCTATGTTCCTTTATGGACAATATTCTTCAAAACCATCTGATTAGAACGGTTGGTGTTGATTCACTAAAGTGAAGACAGACCAAAGTATTTCCTTTGTGAATCACTCCTAACCATCTGTGGTGGTGACGCCTTATTCCACTAAACCTCATCTTCATTGGCAAGCACACAAATGGGTATTCTCCCTCACCACTGTGGACAGTGGCAACCATAAGCAGAGATTTGGAATGTGTAGGAGGACCATCATCAAACAGCTCATGCATGATGGCTCTGAGGTCATCCAACTGTGCTTTGGAGATAAGGCTGCATTTGTACATTTCTCCTAAAATATACAGATTTTATTACAAATGGTATATTCTTAATTTGAGGACATTCACTGCTATTTTCTACTTTTTATAACAATACAAGGTAGCAAAAAGGAAAGAAAAATTGTGTATTTGAGCTACCCAAGCGAAGAATGCCACATGTAGTACATTGTATCATTATTCCCTTGTGTGTTGCCTTCTCCTTGAGAAGATTATGCAACCCTTGCTCATGCTATGAAACTTTCATGGCCTCCCTGTGAGGGGAGCATACTTCCCAGTCTACCAAAGCAGATTTGGCCGTGTGACTTTTTTTTTTTTCAACGGCGAATGAATTGTGTGCAGAAGTGGCTTGTGTGCCATGGGAGCAGAAACATTAAGAACTGTAACTTGTTCACCGTAACCCAGAATGAAACTGCTCCTACAGCCTGATCCCAAAATGAGTAAGATGGTGCAGAATCATAGATGGAAGCATAGTGGTAGCTGACTCTGCTGAACTACACTCACATGGAATGTGAAAGGGACCTAAAAGTTAATTGCTGTAATCTGCCAAAACTGGGAGATTGTTTTTTCCTGTAGCATTACAAAGTGAAAGTTAAGTGATAAACCACATAAGCAGAAGTTTACATGTCACTGGCAAAACTTAACTTCATTAGTTTGTAGTTGTCTTCATTTTTACTTTATTTATTTCACTTTCAGTTAATCTCTTGGTCATTACTCTGCCATTAACCAGTAGGGAAGTCTAGTTTCTTCCTTTTGAGGCCTTA